CTAAGTAATTCTCCTGGGCTCTGGGTGGGAAAAAAAAGTTGCTTCCCTAAGAACTTGTCTCCATGGATCTTTTGTCACAAGTGTTTGAGGTTCTAGTATACGTTAGCCAAGTAGTCCAAGAAGCCCAAGGTGAGAATTCAACATTAAAAAAAATTGTTCTAAGCAAGTGATGTCTTCTAAGGCACCTGGCAGAAACAAATGAATGGACATTTCCTTAACCTAAACCATTCCCAAGTCCCCAAATAAAGGCTTTCTGAAAATGAGTTCACAATCCAAAATCACAAAACACGAAAGGAAAAATCCACCATGAGTGAAAGTCAGCAGTCACAACAAATAGGAAAACCCCTCAAGAACTTCAATAATAGAACATTCAGATCAAGACTATAAAATAAATTCTTGAATTAATTGGGGACATAAAGGAAGGATGTAAAACATAAGAAAAGATCAAGAAACTATCAACAAAAAACAGGCATATGTGAAAAAGAATCTCTAGAAAATAAAAATAAAATAATTGAAAATAAAATCTCAATGGATTGACTATTAACAGATAAGCACACTGAAAGAATTGGTAAACAAGATGATTAAGATTAACACTTTGGGAGGCTGAGGCCAGCAGATCACTTGAGGTCAGGAGTTCGAGACCAGCCTGGCCAACATGATGAAACCCTGTCTCTACTAAGAATACAAAAATTAGCTGGGCGTTGTGGTGGGTGCCTGTAATCCCAGCTACTCAGGAGGCTGAGGCAGGAGAATTGCTTGAAGCTGGGAGGCAGAGGTTGCAGTGAGCCAAGATTGCACCACTGCACTCCAGCCTGAGTGACAGAGTGAGACTCCACGTCAATAAATAAATAAATAAATAAATAAATAAGATAAAGCTAAGAAAATGTAACATAAAGAGTTAAAGACAAGAAAAACATCAACTAGGTCAGTAAATAGGAAAAAAAGAATAAGAAAACCCAATGTACTTCTAATAAGACTTCCAGGAGGAGTGAATAAAGACACTAAAGCAGAGACTATTCGAAGACACAGGAATCCTCAGATTCAGGAAATGGAGTGTGTTCTGAACATGGTAAGCAAAACTAAATTAATACCCAAATGCATTGTTCTGAAACTCTGAAACATCAAAGGCAAAGAGAAGATCTAACTATCAAACAGAAGAAAAGGCAGGTCACCTAAAAAGGAGCAGAAACAATTAGATGTACAGCAGACTTCTCAATCACATCACTGGAAGCTGGGGACACAAAGGACCTACGTCTTCAAAGTGCAAATAGAAATAAGATTTCAAGTTAATCATTTACAAATAAGGCCAAATTTAAAACATTTTTAGACAAGCAAAGGAGAGCGTTAACCATTGAAAAAAATCTATTGGTTAAAGGACTATGAAAGGAGATACTTCAAAAAGCCAGAAGTAAGGAATTGGAGATATGTAGAAATAGAAAACAAAAGAACAGGTAAACATCTTGGTAAATCTTAGTAAATTGACTCTGTAACATAATAGTGGTGATGGCTGATTTTGGAAACAGCAGGGTAGCTGCAGTTAAAGCATTCCAAATTCTTACACTGTTTGTAAGAAGGAGAAAGATATTGATCAACTTTAGACTTTAGATTTGATGTCAACTATGCATGGTGAATTTTTAAAGGAATCCATGAACAAGAAAAACAAAGGATTAAGATATATATTTAAGGGAATCAGAGACAGAGAATATTACACTGAGTGGTGGTAACTGTTGAGTAAAAGAAAAACTGTAAAAAGGGAATAGGTAGTAATGGTTAGCAGGGAGACCGGTAAACGGGAAAAACAGAACATAAAGAAAACTCAGTCTGATAGAATTTTTTTGAGCATTACAAAAAAATCAGGGAAAATAAGAAGGTAGAAATAAACCTAAAATTATCAATAAACAAACTAAACACCGAGACAAAGATTTTTTTAATTACAAGAGATTGTCCTAAAGTACAAAGACACCAAAAGTTTAAAAGTAAAAATATACGAAAACTACTTTTCAAAATCCAGCTGATTGAGCTATGTTAATACTAGGCAAATTTGTAAGTAAAAATATTATTATGAGAGTTCTTATATATACGAAAGGAGCAATTCAACCAGGAAGAAATAAAAATTGTAAACTTATACTCACCTTATCATGATCTAAAATGTTCTCAAAGCAAAAAATGACAGAGAGAAGGAGAAACAGACAAATCTCCAAACTTTTTTCAGTGATTAGGCAGACAGAAAATTAGGAAAAGTACAGACGTGGACAATACAATTAACAAGGTTGATCTAACGAACAAATAGAGAACACTGAACCCAGAGCATTTGGAGAGTATGTATCTTTTTCAAACAGCAGGCATCGGGTATAAAAACTGACCACTTAGTTGGTCACAAATCAAGTTCAACAAATTCCAAAAAATCTGTATAATACAGACCACAATGCAGAAAGGTGAGAAATCAGTAAATAGAAGATAACTTAAATACATATATATTTGGAAATTTTAAAATACACTTTTAATTATCCTAAAATATCATAAAATATCTCCTAATTATTATTAGGAGAAATAGTGAATATTTTTTAAAGACTTATTGTCAAAGGAGAAGTAATTCTGAAAATATACTACACTTAGGACTAAATGAAAATTCCCCATATCAAAACCTGTGGAAAGAAACTAAATTTTATTTTATTTTATTTTATTTTTTTGAGACAGGGTCTCACTGTGTCACCTAGGCTGAAGTGCAGTGGAACAATCACAGCTCACTACAGCCTCAAATTCATGGGCTCAAGCAATTCTCCCACCTCAGCCTCCTGAGTAGCAGGCACTAAACGTGTGCGCCCCCTCACCTGGCTAATATTTGTATTCTTTGTAGAGACGAGGTTTTGCCATGTTGTCTAGGCTGATCTCGAACTCCTGGGCTCAAGCAATCCACTCCCCTTGGCCTCCCAACGTGCTGGGATTATAGGTGTGATCCACTGCACCCAACCCTAAATACATTATTTAAAAGACATTTTATAACTGAAATATTTATATTAGAAGAGAAGACTGAACATCAATGATCTGAGCATTAACCTTAAAAAGGTAGAAGAACCCAGTAAACCCAGGGTATATAGAGGGAAGGAAATAATAAAGTTAAAGCAGTCCATGAAATATAAAACAAACTTATAATACAGATGCTTGGCAAACATAGGATTTGGTTCTTTTTAAAACTAACAAAGTGATAACAGAACAGACAAGGTAGTGAAGCAGTAGAAAGTGTGAGCTCTGGAGTGACTGCCTGGACCAAGTCCCACCCCAGCACTTACCAGCTGCACAGACTTGGGAAACGACTTATGGCCAGCATCAGGGGAGCCACAGCAAACTCTGGACTGTCAAAGCCCAGTGCCATGTACTACTCGGTTATCCTTATAAGATATCCAAACTATGTACTCTGATTAGAGTATCCTTCTCCCATTATTTAAAAAACAGGTATTATTATCTCCATTTTACAGATGGGAAAACTGAGATTTGTACAACGTATGAAATTCTCTTAAAGTCATGAAATGATCAAGGGTTGAAACTGATTTAACACCAGATCTTTCTGGACTCCAAAGTCTACTCCCTCAACCACCACAGTAATCTACAAGAGAAGAGGAAAATCCCTGTTGGCCATTCAGTGTCGTGATATTCTGGAAGGTTATTTACTGTATACCCAACTTTAGGGTAAATATCTTTCTTAAGGTAGACTGTAAAACAAAAGGAGCAAATGCCTCTTACTCATATATAGAAGTTCCTACTCCTACTAATATTAACCTAGTGATTAAAATTATGGGCTTTGGGACTGGGCACAGTGGCTCACACCTATAATCCCAGCACTTTGGGAGGCTGAGGCAGGCAGATCACTTGGGGTCAGGAGTTCAAGACCAGGCTGGCCAACACGGTGAAACCCCATCTCTACTAAAAATACAAAAATTAGCCAGGCATGGTGGCACACACCTGTAATCCCAGCTACTCAGGAGGCTGAGGCAGGAGAATCACTTGAACCTGGGAAGAAGAGGCTGCAGTGAACCGAGATGGTGCCACTGCACTCCAGCCTGGGCAACAGAGCAAGACTGTCTCAAAAAATCAATTAATTAATTAAAGGCTTTGGAATCCAAAGTAACATGAATAATTGCTAATATTTATTAGACACCATGTTACCATGGATAATACTAAACTCTTTCAATCCTCACAATATCCATTTTCACAGGTTCTGTTATTGTCCCATAATACAGACTAAGAACAATGAAGTTAAACTGACATAGTAACTGGCAGTATTCCAAACCAAGCCATCTAACTTCAAGAGCTGACATTCTCATCCACACTAAACTTGTGGGTCCTGACTTCCTCGGCCATCAGCTGGGGATGACCATACCTGCTTCCTGAACTGCAAAGAGGAAATGAGACCAAGTAGGTAAAGCCACCAGCATATCTGGCATGCAGTAAGTGATGATGATGATGGTGGTGAGGAAGACGGTGATGGTGATGATGACAGCAGGCCCTTGCAAAGATACAGGCCTAATTGCTACAGAACAATTTACTGCATGAAATCCTCAAAAAGAAATCTCTCCTTCCATTTCACTCACACAAATCTTCATGTGAACAGATCATTTGTGCGCTATGAGAAAGCTTATTTTCAAAATCAAAATCACAGCATTTTGCATTATGTGAAGATATGAAGAAAAATGTTTAAAAGAATCTGATAAATAAAACTATAGAGAAGTGCAGGGGGCGGGGCTGCTCACATTACCCATTGCAGTAAGTCTAGCCTTGAACTTAATTTTCCAGAATTCTTGAAATATCAGTGATCGCAACATAAAAGACCAATTAATCAGACTGTGCTTGTTCTCTATGTGTGAGTCACTGTTGCCATCTACAGTTAAATATGGGACATGCAATGCTGCCAAATAACTGACTAATTCTAAGAACGTAGTCCTGGAGATGGTGGTGCTAAGGCAATCCACTTGTACAATGAGTACAGAAAACAAAAATGCTACCTGTAGGAGCAGCTCTTTTTCAACCACCTCTTCAGTCTTGCTGATGAGACGCTTCTGCAGGGTGTGAATTTTCTGTATCAGCTCAAACGCGTTGGGGTCGCTGGCCTGTCCAAGGGGAACAACAATAGCAGCTGAGATATCATCAACTTCAAAGCACTGAGGTCTCTATTTAAAATGTACATTGTCTTATTAAAGTCTATTGGAAACTGCAGACCTAATACAGAGAGAATTAGAACCAAAAATAAAGTATAATAGATGAGATAATCATAAATTCCTGTCCCCAAAAAAGCAGACTGCAGTTTTCCTAATGTTTTATCTATGGCATTAGTTATTCTATAAATACAAAGTAAATGTGTTTATTCCACCAGTGGGAATAACAATAATGGTAGCCAATATGCTCGATATATGATTCTTTGCCGCCATGCAGATACTATACTAAGTGCTTTTTATACAATATTATACTTTGGCTGCAGGACAGCCCTAGGAGACAGTATGTCTTTTCCTTTTATACTGATACGACAACTGAGGCTGAGAGAAACTAAGTCATTTACCCAGAGTGGCAAGGCTCAGAGCTGGAGTCAAGCCCAAATATGCCAAGCCCCAAAGGCATAGTTCTCAATTCCTATGCTCTGCAGCTTACCCTACCGTCTCCTCTGTTTACTTAATTTTCCAGAATTCTTTGTTTTGTTTGAGACAGGGTCTCACTCTATTGCCCAGGCTGGAGTGCAGTGGTGCGATCATGGCTCACTGCAGCCTCAAACTCTGGGGGATCAAGCAATCCTCCTGCTTCAGTCTCCCAGTAGCTGGGACCACAGGCACATGTCACCACACCGGGTTAATTTTTTTGTAAAGACAGGGTCTCACTAGGTTGCCCAGGCTGGTATCCAACTCCTGGGCTCAGGCAATCCTCCCACCTTGGCCTCCCAAAGTGCTGGGATTACAGGTGTGAGCCACTGTGCCCAGCCCCTAAAATTCTTGAATGGAAGGAGACAGAGCTCCCTAATTCACTCAGCCTTAGGATTCTCCTTGGGTAATTGTCAGCAGGAAGATTCACTGCGGTCTATGATGGGGATGGTTTCCAGGATGTGGACTTCTGCTAATCATTGGCAGCAGAGCACTACCATGGCATTTAGCTCTGAAATGGAAGTATCAGTCCACAAAGCTCTGATGATCCCTCACTAGTTATGTACAATTCAAACAAGATATATAGTTATAAATTGGTAATTTGTCCTCTAGACTTTGAGCCAAGGCTTCACTTTCAACTGTACTGACATTTTGAATTAATCTAACAGCTAAATATTTTCAACTGCCTCCCAGAGTCTCTATTTTCTAATTTTTCTAATAGAAACTGATGTGGAATTGGAAACTTTAAAGATCTGCATGAAAACACACAGAGTAAACTAATGTGACAGTAAACGAATTTAAAATCTTCATCTCCGCTTCTGCAGACATACGCATATTACTATTGGTTAGTAAACTACATCACTCTCGGCATTTGAAGAGGAAGGAATGAGGGTCCAAAAGGGAAAAGAAAAAGAGATGCCATTGACTCTGACTTTGCTTGAGAAATACTAAGCAGGGCCAACTGATATCCATCTATTGGGACTAGATTTGGCACACATTCACCTGGCAGGGCTGGATGCTGTTAAAATTCAGGCCTCGTGTTTACATAACAATTTATAATGCATTATCCTTAATGCTTTCTTCATTAAAAGGAAAAAATAAAAATGGAAAACAAAACTCTGCCTGGCTGATTTTCTTTCTTATAAGGAAAAAATAAAAATTAAAATCAAAAATAAAGGAATTTTTATTTTTTCCTCTCTTAAAGGTCCCTATGTAAAATACATATTGTCCTTTCCGTTCTTAAAGAAAAAAAATAAAAATGAAAAACAAAAATCTCCCTGGCTGATTTTCTTTCTTATACCTGCCCTGCTTTATCTTATATGACATACTTACATCTCCCAATACCCTGATCATTCATCTAGTTGAAGACGCTTTTGGCATGCACATTGCTAGTTACAACTAAAGGAGATAGCTTTCTTTTTCTTGAATAAGCAGAGTTTGTCTTTAACTGTTATTTTCAGTGCTGGTGGTAATGACTACCAGAAAGCCACAGAATAAAATTAAATATGAAGTTGATTATCCATCCCCTTCCAATGAGACTTTAGCTGTGTCCCCAGATTCTAAGAGAAAGGGCTTGGCTAACACCATGCTTTCAACAAGAGGGCAGTTCACAAAACCATATTTTCTGTAAGTAATAAAAGGATGCAAAGATCAATTGAAAGATGGTAGAGATGCTGGTGACCAACATCACTAAAGGCCATGAACATCCAAGACTAATAGGCAGCCTCAGGATAACTGGTTAACCAAAACCTACCCAAGCCAGAAAAATAAATGTCAGTTGGTGAGGCAGGTTCACAGTTTTCACTGGGCTTTCTTTAGGTAGAAAGGATTTTGTGCAAGACTTTTAAAACAAAACCCAAATGAACCATCTGGTTCTGAGAGAACTCAATTTACATCTGATCCAGCCTTACATTTTAGGTGACAATTTGCATAGCATTAAATAAAACCTCGCTTCTCGTTGTGCTTTAGGTTAGAAGCTTCGCGTGGGATAGGAGGAGAGATTTGGGGATGGGGAGAACGCACTGCCAGATGTTACCTCGAGCTTCCTCCATCTGTGCACATTCATGGGATTCTCCAGCTCCTCCTCCAGGGCTCGGCAACGTGTCCTCTCCTTCAAGAATTCTCTTTGCATGTGAAAAAACTCCTGTCTGAATAAGACAAACTTGATTTTGCAAAGAATTATCCACCCGTTTGAATATCCTGTCTATCTTTAATTGGTTGCATACATACTACGTCTTATATAAAAAGTTGGAATTAGGGAGAATATTGTGAACACTGGGACCAGCCTCCTAAATCTGGGCAAGACACAGATGATATTAATTCTTGCAGAGCTCAAGAATTGGCTTCGCTTTCAAAAAAAAAAAAAAAAAAGTGCCAGGGCTTCAGAATCAGAGTCATGATTCTGGATACTCAAGAAATTTATAAGTATATGAAAGGAACAAAGGGCAGGGGGATTATATTAGTCTTTTCTCACACTGCTAATAAAGACATACCCAAGACTGGTAATTTATAAAGGAAAGAGGTTTAATGGACTCACAATTCCACATGGCTGCAGAGGCCTCACAATCATGGAGGAAGACAAAGGGAGAGCAAAGGAACATCTTACGTGGTGGCAGGCAACAGAGCTTCTCTAGGGGAACTCCCATTTATAAAAACCATCAGATCTCATGAGACTCATTCACTACATCACTACAATGAGAACAGTATGGGGGAAACTACCCCTGTGGTTCAATTATCTCCACCTGGCCCCCATCCATGACACGTGGGGATTATTACAATTCAAGGTGAGATTTGGGTGGGGACACAGAGCCAAACCATTTCAGCAGTGAATTATGAGAGTTTAAATACACTGTTTAATGTTTCTAAATGTCTCTATAGTCGTAATAAGTGAACAGGCTACAGTCCACAAACTCAGCACCTGACAGCAATATGCTGAGGCTCGGGTGATAACCTAACACCAGTCAGGGCATAGATCTCCACCCTCACTACACATTGCAATCCCCTGGGGAGCTTTGAAAACTACCTCTTCTCCTGGACCCAATCCTTAGAGGGATTCTGTTTCATGGTCTAGCATGGGTCCCTGGCTTCATAGGTCTTAAAGTCCTGCTGGCAATTCTCACATGCAGCCCAGGTTGAGAAACCCAAGTTAGGAGTTGTGATGATACTTTATCTTGAGTTCCACAACTGTACAGATGGCTGAAAAAGTCTTGAATATCTAGTTCTGGCTGAAATACACTGCTAAAATCTTCAGAAATCTCTAGTTAATAGGTAACATGCAATAGCCATCCTCAGTGTTTGCGAGTTGGCTGTCACCCTATAGAATGAGATGTTGGGAGGCAGAGAAGAAGCAAGCACTTGCATTGACACGGGCAATAAGGATATTATTATCTGTCCTCGCCTGCTGCAGGGGTGCAGATTACTAATACTAAGCCATCTCTTTTACTTAATCGCTTCATTTAAACCAATAATACAACTTCCCCTCATTAGCAAGACAAACCATTAGAATTAACTGCATGATGTTCACTCAACAGGGCGCTCAGAGCAAGCTGCTTAGAATTAAAAGCATATTTTTAACACTTCAATTTTCTAGAATGTTATCAGAAGGGGAGGGCAGAAGTATTAGCTACCATATTTGATGGCCTGCTTTGTACTAGACTCTGTACATGGCACATTGATTTGTTTTGCTGTTTAATTGTGACTATAAGTCCAAAGCTCAGGGAGGTTCAGTGACTTGCCCAAGGTCACACAGTTTGTAGGTAGCAAGACAGATCGGAATTCATGCTAGCTTGCCTCCAGCCTTTATTAAGTTTTCTTCCCATTGAAAAGAAAAATAAAATATATTATCAACAAACTAGCAATACTGAATGGGAATGGATAAAATTTCGTCCTTTGTGTATGTAATAAAAATAACTCATGGCTGACAAGTTTAGCGATGGTTTGGAGACTATTCAATAGTTACTTAGAATGAATCCATTTGTCTCCAAAATGTCAATGGTGGTATCTCTGGGTAGTAAACTTATGAGTGATTTTCTAATCACTTCTTTATATTTTTTCTGCATTTCTCACATTTTCCACAATGAATTTGTACTACTTTCATCATCTGAAATACAAGCAACTCCAAAAAAAAAAAGAAAAAGAAAACAAAAAAGTATTGATCTATCCTTGATAGTAGCAACCTTGCTATTCCTGAATATATTCATTGCATTTAAATATCCAAACTATCTTCTAACCCAATTGATTTGAGAAGCAGATCCAAACCATGTCCTTATTCCAAGATGGTCAAGGATACTGTTCATCTACAAGTCTGTGGGGAATAAGGATAGCTACTGAAAAAATACCAGAACTCTTATTTGGTTTCCTGCAATTGCCTTTATAAAACATGGTGACGTTTTCCCAAAGGGAAAGTAGATCTTGTGTAATGCAAGATTTCAAGAAAGAAGAAGGCGCACTAAGCTAAAGTGAAAGCTGCAGAAGATAAATCAAGAGTGAGATATAAAATTTGGCCGCCTTCTAAGGAAACGAAGTTTTCAAGTAGTGATAAAATTATATTTTCCACCTCTTTTCTTCCTGTATATAATTCCAAGAAAAAGATGTGCAAATGTTACCAGATTAAATTTCAATATTGATGCTCCCTCTCTTGCATACTGACGTATTAAAGAAATTAAGAAAGCTCATCGGGGAAAAAAATTTCTGAATTGTAACTAATTTCCTTGAAAATTATTTTGTAAACTCCAGAATATGGTTTTTTAAAAACCTTTTTGCACTTGCCCATACCATCCTGAAAGGAAGCTGGTTCATTTTTGTGACACAGCATAGGAACAATGGAGACGTTATGGAAAAGCTGTTCTTATTATTCGTTAATAATTTCATCCTGTAAACTTCATTTTGTACAACTCGATAAAGACCTTCAATGAGCAACAAGCATGACTACAAAGTGATTTTAGGAGTTCCCCATGTTGCACTGTGCCCTCAGCCCTGAGTTGTATTATCTATTACCTGAGTTCTTCAACATTAGCCACACTCTTGGCAAGAATCCCCTTTTCCCGGCGAAGCTTCTTGATCTCAAGTTTGAGGATTCTCATGTCCTCCAACCTCTGGTTGTACTGGCTCTCCCCTTTATTCAGCACAGACTGTTGGATCTTGATCTTCTCATAGAGCAAAGCTAACTCATCATTGCGCCGAACAAGCTGAGACCCCAGGATATCTCTCTCGCTGATGACCTAGGAAGGTAGGGAGGGGCATGGCCACCAGGAAAGAAGAAGCCTTAGCTTTTCATTGTGGCAGCACCATTCATTCAATGAGTATCTTTCAAACACCCACATGTACTGGGCACCACGTGGGCTGCGCACTGGAAAGAGCTGGCTAGACAATCAACACTGGACCCCTCCCACTAGGGTTTTTGAAAACATCATACAACAAATAATCCTTAATAATATTAATAATAATAGTCCAAGGCTGGGTACAGTGGCTCATGCATGTAATCCCAGCACTTTGGGAGGTCAAGGCAGGTGGATCACTTGAGGCCAGGAGTTTGTGACCAGCCTGGCCAACATGGTGAAACCCCATCTCTACCAAAAATACAAAAATTAGCCAGGTGCAGTGGCAATATCTGTAGTCACAGCTACTCAGGAGGCTGAGATGGAAGGATCACTGGAGCCTGGGAGGAGAAAGTTGTAGTGAGCCAAGATGGTGCCACCACATTACAGCCTGGGTGACAGAGAAAGACTCTGTCTCAAAAATAATAATAATAATAATAATAGTCCAATCATCTAATAATCTTTAGCCTATGTATGTGTCGTTTTATTTATTTCCAAATCCTTTATATTTATAAATGTTCAAATCTGAATGACTTCATGGCGGGCTAGCTCTTGCCAAGTTCCACTACTTCCTTCTATCTTGCACTGGCCAACTTCTCTCTGCCAGGTCCCTGAAAGCAGTTAAATTTCTAACCCCCAAATTATGCATTTGGGTTTCTATCTCCCAAATTGTTATTTTCATTTTTTTCATGTTGGATGGGTAATGTGCTGACATTGTGATAAGGTGTGAGGGAGGCATATCTTACACATACATGTGAACATCCAGTCAAGATCAAATCACGTAATTATCCATTGCAATTATATGTGAGCAACTGTATTATACTAGAATGCAAGCTCCCTGAGGATGAACCGTATTGTCTTGGTGGCCAATGTGGCCCTAGTGCCTAGAGGAGTGACTGAGACATGGGAAGTGCTCATAAATATAAGTCAAATAAAGGAGTGAATATTTCATAATTAATCAATACAAGATGGGTCTCTGCTGCTGTTCTTCCAATAGGGCTGGTTGGCAGAGCTTAGAGAGGAAGGAGTGTTCGAAGGGTGGAATTAAATACTCGTGTCTGTTGACGAGGTCTGTAAGTCTGACGAGGAGGTGCTCTACCTGGTCTAATTCCTTCTTCTGCCTCAACCTCTCCCCGTCAGCCTCAGCAATTATTCGCAGGAGTTTTCTCTCTTCAGCTTCTTGCTTTTCAATAAAGTGTTTGGTCTCCAGGGCTTGTTGTCTCAGCTTCTGCAGCTCAGCCTGACAAAGAGTGGAAGATACAGGCAAATTTCAATTCGTTACAGCACAAACCAGGACGACAGGGACCGGATTCAGATGTACAGTTGTGCTTCTTACTCTTTCCTCTGATGTTTCATTTAACACAGTTTGATCACTGTCACAAGCAAAACAAGCTTACCACACACACACACACACACACACACACACTCACTCATAAAGAAATAGCAATGAACATTACAGTCATCATGTTTATTCTGAGTTGTGCCCTTGAGGGATTTCTATCATTTTTCTATATATGTGTAGCAGGGGCTTCATTGGTATTCAGCAGCACTTCATCTCTTACCGGCTAAACACCAGGAGAATTCACAAAGAATAGTGCAGAGCAGGATGTGGGGGCGAGGACAGGGGAGGCCTCCATGTGTACCAGCTCCTGTAATGTCCGTAACACCACCAGCACATGAACCACAAAGGTAAAGCCCTTTGTAAGCAAAATTAAACTACTCAAAGATAATAACTGTCTATCTTGTAAAACATCCTGATGAAACAGAAGGGATGTCATTTATAAAAAGATATATAGATTCTACTTCGATGGCACTTCCAACCCAGATGAGAGGATAAGATAGACAAATATTAGGCAAATATTAAGAAGTCCAGGCAATAATTTGTCAGCGTCTTGATGATCACACAGAGTGAATTGATATTATGGGAGGTCAAAGAAAAAGTCATCATTAGACTGGGGGTCGCAGGGATGCTTTCTCAGAGAGCTCAGACCGGAATCTGGCCCCTAAGTTTATACGAAAATCATAGGAATTATGGAGAAAGGGTGCTATGGACTGTTAAGTTTTAGCAGGACAATTTGTCTCATCAAAGTGCACATTCACTTCTATTCCACAAGTTTGTTTGTGACCTACCATATCCCAGGCATGATACTAGGCATTTGCGTAGCTACTCCTGTCTCCATTTAATGCAATTACAGAGACAAAAGCAAATAACTTGCCCAAGGTCATGGAGCTATTGAGTAGCAGATTGAGATTCCAACCCAGATCTTTTGATTCCAAAGCCTGTGCTCCTTCTACTGTCACCACCCAAGAGTTCCAAATTAAATATAGAAGATAAGCAAGACTTGAGAGATTCGCCATCCATTGAAGATGATGAACAACCAACAACAGTGTGAAAATGCTATCTATCTATGTGAAAAGGACATGGGTATACACATAAAGGTGTTTATATTTCTGCCTGGGGTTTAGAGGGAAGAACCAGTCAGGTCACTGGCAGTTGACAGATATTGCCAACATGGAGGGGTATGTGTTGTGAGAGCAGGGCATTCAGCAGTCAGGCTTGTGAGAACAAAGGCATGCAAACTATAAAGTACCTGGTGTGTTCACCAGATAGTGAAACAGCCAATATGGCTGAATTAGAGAGCTAGGTAAGGAATAGCTGGAGGTAAGGCTCACAAACAGCTAAGGCAGACAGGGAAAGGCCTTGTGTGCCAGGCACTATGTAGCGCATGCAGTGGGGGAACCAAAGTTACGTATGTTACAGGAAAGAAGAATATGCATTTGAGAGGTTCCCTGCCCAACTGGGATGGATGAGGGATATCACAGACCAGGTCAGAACAAGAAGAAGCAAATGAGGAGGAAGAGCTCTGCTTTCCCTCATGCTGGAATCACAAGGGAGATGACAAGATAATATTAAGGTTTCAACTTGTCAATGGCTTGCAAGTTGGCAAATGTCAGTAAAAGAGTAATAATTTTTTCCTTCAAGTAAGTATTTGGACCCCCGCCTACCTAGAAATGACACCCAGATGATGGAAACCTCATACTTTAAAGTGCCTTTGAACCAACCCAGTTTTAGTTACGGTCTGTCCCTGCCCCATGAAAACCAGAAGTCATTAATTCTACACCTCAGACTTATCCAAACAGTAAAAGACACTGTGTACCTCGTAACAGATGTGTAATGTCACAAACTGAATGCAACCAGCTACTATAAAACCAAGGGTTTCTTTTATGACATTTTGTTTGTTCATTTCATGAAACGTGTTTTGGTCTAGGGATAAGCAAAAGGAAATACTTATTGAGAAAAGATCTCATCTAGTATTTACCACTTGGGGGGATTGTCTGTTAGGAAAGAGAGCGAAGAACCAGCCTTTCTGTTTCTATAATCATTTAAGGTGACAGCAAAGACAGCAATAAAATACCTGTTTGGCTCATGCTTTCTTTAATAAAACTTTTATTTTCCCAGATGTGCAACATTCACTTCCCTGTTCTTACGTGCCAAGAGCTGATCAGAATCCATCAGCAGAACAAAATGAAACCCCTGTTATATTAAAATGCAATCAACAGTGTGTAAAAGTATCTGTCTGAAATGTAAAACCACTCGTGCATTTGGCATTACTGCATACTTTTTTCATAATATATCAAAATTCTGAGTGGTCTCTTTATGTCATAAATGTATGGGCTGTAAACAAGATGTGTCATTAGACATTGGCAGCAAATGTTAACATCAACAAAATACCTTGGGTCTAATGCATTTAGCAGTTATAAATCTGAGCCATCTCACTCAGGAAGGATGGCAACAACCACTATGCATTCAAAAGCTCATCAAACAATGCCCTAGGTGGGACCTGAGGTTTCTGCACCTATCCAAGTGTTACTGGTGGTATGAAGTTGTAATGAGATGGCAAGACACAGCCTTTACTCACCACTTCCACAATTATACAATTTTGCAATAGGCATTATGGATTATCTGTAACCAGATTTGGCTATGGGCATAAATCATATCTCAAGAGTCATACTTGTAGAATTTCTCCCATTCATACATGATCTCTACATGAGTTTCATAGAAATTATCTGTTTAAATCTAGCAAAGCAAATAGTACCACCTGAAGTCTTCTAGCCATGAGAATAATTAGGCTCTCTCTCTCTCTCTGTCTCACATGGATGACAGCTCCCCATCCATGGTGAGCTACAGAGTCCACTAAGTAAAAGAATATGGTGCCCTGAAGCCAGGCCCTAATGTGGTGCTGAGCTCTGGACACAGAGAATCTGCTGATGAATTATTCACCAAGAATCAAAGGGCTGTCAGATACATGTGGGATGATTGGAAAGAGACAAGACAGAAGCGGGGGCTTGTTAGGACTGGAAGGCAGACACTCCAAATGAGATGGCTCCTTCAGTGCTGATGAAACAAGCCTGGGACACAATGGGCAGATGAATGCAGACACAGCAATGTCTACAGAGAACTACTGACATCCTGTCATAACCATAATGTGCTGACAGTGTACAGGATCCTCAGGCATCAGTGGAGGCTAGTAGCAACAGAAAAAGTAAAAGAAACATGGAAGGACAAGATTTGTCTGCTGAAGGGGATGAATGAAGATGAGGATGACCTACTAAAGATAGTCGTTTGCCTATCAGCTTGGAAAAGTCGTAAATTGGGTTGTCCTGTCCAAGGGTATCTCACAGGCTACCTAGTAGGCAACGGCTTGCCCCTCCGGGAGGGATTATGTACCCACGTAGCTTTGTACAACTCGCAATAATAAGATAAATGTCTTCTGGAGCAAAGTTACTAGAAAATCTGCCCTTTCCCTCAGGGTTTTGGTTGGCAGACTTTAGATGCATGAAATCCAGGGACCTGTGTGAAATGTGATTCATTCTTAGGCTAAAAAAGTCAAGAGGCTAAAACTCAACATTTGAGCTGTCATATTTTTCTAGAGAATGTCAAACGGGCTTAATGATAGGCCAAAATTATCCAGTCGGAGCACCATTGCAAGTCACCTTGGATAGCCTCAAATAATAAATCAGGGAGGCCTCTGTCTTTGCTCCTCATTCTTGCCTTCATGGGAAATGTGGGGAGAAAGGGCATCCTAGTTCCACAGTAAGTCCAAAGCAATCATCTTCCTATAATCGATGACCCAAAGCCATCCAGACTTGGGATTCTCCATTTGGAGCAGTCTCTGGAGCAGAAGCCTTTTAATCATCCTTCATGTTCACCAGCTGCCAAATCTGCTGGCCCAGGTCCAAATAATACAGGACTCAATTGCCCTGTATTTTATTTTATTATGATGTTTCTTTGGAGCTTTATGTGTAGACACCTGATGGCAGAGGCCATAAATGAAACAAATATTAGCTAAAGTCAAACTCCGAGGAATTAGGAATAATTGATATTTTGTATAGGACATTTGTTCTAAAGCAGGATTTTGTAGAATGACATTAGTTCCAACTTGGACCCCATTATGGGGTAATAATTCATCTTTTGAATACAGTATTACAGGGAAAGTAAGAGATGAGACCTAATGCCATCCTTTAAAGGGAAAGAGATCATGCACCAAATGGATTACACTGAGCCTTGCTAACACAGCCCATAACGCTCATGGGTGAAGCAATGTTTAAAATAAGTTTCTTGAGGTCCCGGAGCAAGATGGCCGAATAGGAACAGCTCCAGTCTCCAGCTCCCAGTGCGAGCAACACAGAAGATGGGTGATTTCTGCAGTTTCAACTGAGGTACTGGGTTCATCTCACTGGGGAGTGCTGGACAATTGGTGCTGGTCAGCTGGTGCAGCCCGACCAGCGAGACCTGAAGCAGGGTGAGGCATCACCTCACCTGGGAAGCGCAAGGGGGAAGGGAATCCCTTTTCCTAGCCAGGGAAACTGAGACACACAACACCTGGAAAATCAGGTAACTCCCACCCTAATACTGCGCTTTACCAAGGGTCTTAGCAAATGGCACACCAGGAGATTATATGCCACACCTGGCTGGGAGGGTCCCACGCCCACGGAGCCTCCCTCATTGCTAGCACAGCAGTCTGTGATCTAACTGCAAGGCAGCAGCAAGGCTGGGGGAGGGGTGCCTGCCATTGCTGAGGTTTAAGTAGGTAAACAAAGCCGCCGGGAAGCTCGAACTGGGTGGAGCCCACAGCAGCTCAAGGAGGCCTGCATGTCTCTGTAGACTCCATCTCTGGGGACAGCACACAGCTAAACAAAAAGTAGCAGAAAGCTCTGCAGATGCAAATGACCCTGTCT